CCCGCCGCCGCTACTCACCCAGCCGGCCCCACACGCGCGGCTTCGCCGCCGCCGGGTCAACCGACGCCGCTCCGTGGCCACGGGACCAAAACCTCCTCACAGCGGCGGCCGCCATGCTCTTCCGGACAGGGGGTCCCGCCTCCGGGGAGAAACGGCCCGGTCTCGGAATAAAAGGCCCGGGTGGCCTCTTCTGCGCAGACGCCAAAACCGCCGGATGTGGACTCCTGCCGGAAGAAAATAGCGAACGGCCCGTCGCCGGATGTTGACGGCAAGCGCCGGGGGGCGGAGCTCTGGGCGGGGGGGCGGAGCTCTGGGCGGGGGGGCGGGCCGCGCAGGCGCACGGAGCCCCGGCCACGCCAGCTTAGGTAGCCCAGGTGAGGAAGCTGGGGCGCGCCCGCGCCTTCGCCCCCCGCGCGTGTGGCCCGCGACCTGGCAGGGTCTGATCCGCTTCTGTGCTCAGAGCGGGATGCGGGGACGCCTCTGAGCGACCATGGCAGCGGCTGCTGAGCTGGCCTTCCACGGTGAGTGCGGCCCCGAGGCGCCTGGGGCCCCCGCCGCCGCCCCGGCCCGAACCTAACCCGCGGCCCCCAGGTCGAGTGGGCCGGGAACCCCCAGAGGCCGGAAACCCTGACCCCAGACCGAAACAACCCGGGAGCGAGACGCACCTCACCCCCAAAGCCTCCTGTCAGTCACAGCCCGCGGGCCCATCCCAGGAGCACCCCTCAACTGCACATCCACCACAGAAGGGAACAGAGGCCCCCTTTCCCACGCCCCAGAACAAGATGACCATAGAAAGCAGAGTTGTCTCGGCCCCACCTCCACCCCACCCCACCCCAAAAAACCCCGCACACACCTGTACTATTTTCCTCGCCGCTGTAGAATTCGAGGAAGCCACTAATCTTCTGGCCGAGACCCCAGACGCAGTCACCACCAGAAGTGATCAGCTGAGTCCACAGGGGGGTCACGTGACTGTGGCCTTGGGCTCCAGTGTTGGCTACAGAGCCGAGGATGAGCTGGAGGAGGAGGGGGACAAAACAGCGGTAAGCCATCTAGCTCCCCCATGGCCTCCCATGCCCTGCGTCTCGAGGCCGGCTCTCAAAAGTTCCTTGTTGTGCAGCTCCTACAGGAAGAGAAGCCCCCGCCGGGATTCTGGACCTTTGGTTATTATCAGAGTTTCTTTGATGTGGACACCTCTCAGGTGAGGCCCAGGATGCTGCTGGGAGAGGCCCCGAGGGAGTCCCACTTGGGATTCAGCTCCTATTGACATGCCCACGCCTGGGCTAGGCACCGGTGGCAGCTACAGAACAAGCTCCTCCTACCCAGGCTGAGAGAAGGAAGTGCTTTTTAGGGTGTGGTGACCTGGGCTAGGGGGGAACACAAGGATGCGCACCATCTGGTGTTAGGTAAAGAAAGGGGGTGGGAGTGGCAGGCAACCTTCCAGAACAGCATATGCAGAAAACCAAAGCAAGAGGAGGCCTGGACAGTCCAGGAGACTAGCTGCCACTGGTTGGTCAGTGTGAGGTGAGGGCCAGGAAAGTAGAAGAAAGGTCACGAGACCAATAACAATCTTTCTATATATGCATTATACAGATATACACATTACACATGTAGATGTACTCATATACCAACTATATCACATGTTTATACATACCATGTGCATATACTATTATATATTGCATAGTTTTGTGTATATACAGCATATAAATATGTATATGTAATATATATATATATTTTGGGTCTGTCATGGGGTTTGAAGTCAGGGCCTGCGCTTTGTCCCTGAACTTTTTTTTTGCGGGGGGGCGATTCTGGTCGTGGGGCCTGAACTCTGGGCCTGGGCGCTGTCCTTCGGCTCTTCAGCTCAAGGCTAGCGCTCTACTGCTTAAGCCACAGCGCCTCATCCAGCTTTTTTGCTTATATGGTGCTGAGGAATCAAACCCAGGGCCTCATGCATGCAAGGCAAGCACTCCACCACTGAGCCACCTTCTCAGCCCTGTCCCTGAACTTTTTTGCTCTACCACTTTACCACTTTTGAACCACAGCCCCACATTTCCTTCTCCCTCCCCTGCTCTCCTACCGGTGTTTTATTGGACAGTCTCATGGGCTTCCAACCATCATGATCCTTACACCTCAGCCTTCTCAGTAGCTAGGATTATAGGCATGAGCCATTAGCTCCCAGCTGTGATTTTTTTCTGGGGGGGAGGGGATCAGTGGTGGGGCTTGAACTCTGGACCTGGGCACTGTCCCTGAGCTCTCCAGCTCAACGCGAGTGCTCTACCACTTGAACCACAGCACCACTTCCAGTTTTCTGGTGGCTTATTGGAGCTAGTCTCACGGACTTTTGTGCCCAGACTGGCTTTGAACCAGGATACTCAGATCTCAGCCTCCTGAGTAGCTAGGATTACAGGTGTGAGCCACCAGTACTGGGTTTTACATATGTATTTTTTTGAGCCATGGTCTATATGTTGCCCAGGCTGATCTTGAAAGCCTAGGCTCAAAAGTTTCTCCTGAGTAGCTGGGAAGACAGCGTGTACCACCATGCCCAGTTGTGGGCTGTTGAGGTGTTGGGAGTTTGGGTTTGATTCCAAGAGTGATGTGAATCAGCAGTGGGGGGGCGGGAGGAGGAAGGCTGAGATCTGAGGATAATGGTTCAAAACCAGCCTGGGCTGAAAACTCAGGGAAGAGCTACGGGTGGGATTTCAGCCTGGCTCCTCCTGTGCCCTCCAGGTCCTGGACCGGATCAGAGGATCACTCATGCCCCGGCCCGGTCACAACTTTGTGAGACATCATCTGCGCAATCGGCCTGATCTATATGGTGAACTTGTGTTTGGCTCTTTGAACTACTCAAGCCCAGCTTGATGTGGGGGTCTGGCCAAGGCCTTGGAGGCCAGGGAGAGGTGGAGGGCTGAGGCTCTGGGATGGGAACGGGCTGAGCTGCAGGCAGCGTAGTCTTTTCTGGGGCGGAAGATCTTCGTAAGGGGTTGCTGGGGTCCCTCTCGCCCCATGGGAAGTGAATCCAGAGGCCCAAGTGTAGGCAGAGAGACGATTTACTAACAGACAAGGGGTGGGTGGTCACTGTGGACAGCAGGAGGCGGCACAAAAGGGGGCTGGAAAAGCTCCCGACAGAGGTGAGCAGGGCTTGGGCCCACTGCACCCCGGCAGTAGAGAGTTTTGCCATTGGGATGAGTCAGAAGCAAGCGCATGGGGGCCCCGGAACGTGCAGACAGGATGAGCCAGCACAGCCCTGGACCGGACCACCAGGAAGGAGGCTGAGGGACCTGGCCCGGTCGAGGCTAGCCCCCTCTGCCCCTGTGCCGCACACAGGCTCCTTCTGGATCTGCGCCACCCTGGCCTTCGTCCTGGCAGTCACAGGCAACCTGAGCTTGGTGCTGGCACAGAGAAGAGACCCCTCCATCCACTACAGCCCCCAGTTCCACAAGGGTGAGCAGGGCGGGCGGGCGGGCAGGCTTGGCTCCCAGGGGCCACAGGTCCCCCGGGGACGGGGCTGATGGGTGCCCTGTCCCCCCAGTGACAGTGGCCGGCATCGCCATCTACTGCTACGCGTGGCTGGTGCCCCTGGCACTGTGGGGCTTCCTGCGGTGGCGCCAGGGCGTCCGGGAGCGCGTGGGGCCGTACACATTCCTGGAGACCGTGAGCATCTATGGCTACTCCCTCTTTGTCTTCATCCCCACTGTGGTGAGTGGGGCCAGCGGTGAGGGGGTGGCGGGTGCTGGGGCACCCCCCTCCTGACCCAGTGCTCAGCTGCCTTCGTCTCCCCAGGTCCTGTGGCTCATCCCCGTGCCGTGGCTGCAGTGGTTCTTCGGGGCGCTGGCCCTGGCGCTGTCCGCCTCTGGGCTGGTATTCACCCTCTGGCCTGTAGTCCGAGAGGACACTCGCCTGGTGGCTGTGGCGCTGCTGTCCACGGTGGTGCTCCTCCACGCCCTCCTGGCCACGGGCTGTAAGGTACAGGCCGGGGATGGTGGTGGAGCCAGGCCGGGCAGGCCTTCTGGCTGCGCACTGACTGGAGGGTCTCTGTGCAGTTCTACTTCTTCCAGCCGCTGCCCGCTGAACACCTGACACTGCCGGCACCAGCCACATCCCTGTCACCAAACATCCTGTCCCCCGCCACCGTGAAGGTGTGAATGTTCAAGATGAGGTGCCCTCCTTACTCTGGGGGTGCTCCGAGAATTCCTTCAGGCCGAACCTATGGAGATGATGCTGGTCCTGCTCCCGACAAGGACCGGGACTCCCTTGATCCCTTGAGACCACTCTGCTACTCTCCAGACTTTTCTTACAAAGCAAACACTTTTATTTTCTATGCAAAGATGATCCAGAGAATTTTTATAAAGGCAGGGCGAGCGGCCGGGCAGGGCACTCGCGGGGAGGCCTGGGCAGCCATGCAGCCTTTGCAGAGGGCAGGCCCGGGCCCCCCCTTTCCCCCCTGGCCTGCTCGTGGCCTCCTGCGTTCCCTGACGGGACCCCACGAAGCCTGAAGGGTGGCCCCAGATGGCTGGCCAGCTTCTGAGAGGTGGGGTGCTGGCAGCGAGGCGGGGAGGGCAGAAGAAGAAAACTGCCTGTGCTGAAACATGTTTCCTCGTTTATTTTGCTTTTCTTTCTTTTGTGGGGGGGCGGGGTAGGTGGGGGGGAGGTCCCTGCAAAGGTCTCTTCCCGGAAAGGGGGGGACCTAAATGCCATAATGGTGGTAGGGACTGGAGCGTGTGATTGTGGAGGGAACAGAGAGGCCTATGGGGGGTGGGGGACACGCCTTCCATGACACATCCTTGAGGTCCCATCAGCCCGGGGCCGGCGGCAACCTCCCCTCCGGGCCGACGTTCCCGCTGTCGGTGGAGGGGTCGGCAGAGGAGGCAGGGGCGGGCGGGGACGGAGGGTCTTCAGATAGCAGGGGCTGGGTTGTACATTCAACTGTGAGGTGAACCCTTTGGTGGGGAGGGGTCCCGTCTGCACTGGGCCACCCCTCCCCACGGAGCCGGGGACAGGGGCTGCTGACTGCGCCGGGCCGGCCGGGCTCTCCGAGGGTCTGTGGATTGACACTGGTTCTTTTCGTAAAAAAATAAAACTAAAAAAAGCAGCATGTCACACCCATGGTGACCACGGTGGCCTGGTAGTTGGAGGAGAGGGCCCGCTGGGCTGAGGCCGCCTTCCCACGGGAGATGGGGGACAGGGGGGGACGGGAGTGGAGCCGGGCCGGAAGAAGGGAGAGGGTGGGGTGGGCAGCCGATCCCCTCCTCCGGGCCCCCCCTCCCCAGGCAGAGCGGAGCTGGGGGGAGGAGGGGCTGGCCTGGTGCCCCGGGTACATCAGGGCAGAGCCAGGTCAGGCCGGAGGGCGGGCAGGAGGGGGGTCCCCTCCCCCCGCCGTGATCTGGTGTAAAACGTGGCAGCCACGCGCGCTCGGGGCGGGGGAGGGCGGCGACGGTGTGTAGAAAAAGAGTCCGAGTCCCCATGGCACGGAGGGCGTGGCCGGCGTCGCCCGGGCGTCATTTGGTTTCCTGGTGCGGCCAGCGCCGGCGCGCCTAGCTCCCGTAGTGCATGGTGTTGGTCGGGATGGACATGGGCGACGCCATGGAGATGGCCGGGCCGCCCATGGTGAACTGGCTGTTGATGGCGTAGTGGGCGCTGGCGCCGCCGCCGCCGCCGCCGGCCCCGCCAGCCCGTTACCTTGGACGATGCCCGTGCTCATTATGGAGCCCATCCGGGAGTGCGTGTGATTCACGATCCCCGTGTTGGCTGCACGGCGACAGGGGAGCGGGGACGAGGGGGCGGCAGAGAGGGAGGGGGAGAGGGATCGGCGTCACCCCCGCCCGCCCGCCCACCCGCGACAGAGCGAGGCAGACAGCGCGCGCCCGGCCCCGCCCGGCCCCCACTCACCTAAAGGAATCAGGTTGTTGTGGCCCACGCCGGAGCCGCCGGCGATAACACTGCTCAGGTCGTAGGCGGCCGGCATGCCTGCGCGGGGGCGGGGCGGTCAGGGGCGGGGCTTCCGCGGGCGGGCTTCCGGGGCAGGGTGGGGCGGGGCGCGGGGGCAGGGCAGGGCGGGGACTCACCGGCCACGGCCATCCCACTGCTGAGGTTGTAGGTGCTGCCTGTGTTCCACATGCTCTCCGAGGGGGACGTGTAGTGAGAGCCGGGCGGGGGCGACGGCGTGGTGCCCGTGTACCTGCGCGGGCACGGGTGGGCATGGGTGGGCAAGGGCGCGGGGCAGGGCTGGGGGGATGGGGCGGGGCATTGGTAATGGGCGTGGCGAGGAGGAAGGGCGGGGCCGACTGAGAGGGGCGGGGCATTGGTAATGGGCGGGGCAAGGAGGAAGGGCAGGGCCGGCCAGGAGGGGCGGGGCATTGGTACTGGGCGGGGCGAGGAGGAAGGGCGGGGCCGGCTGAGAGGGGCGGGGCATTGGTAATGGGTGGGGCGATGAGGAAGGGCGGGGCCGGCTGGGAGGGGCGGGGCATTGGTAATGGGCGTGGCGAGGAGGAAGGGCAGGGCCGGCTGGGAGGGGCGGGGCAGAGCGGCTGGGGCGCCGCAGCCCAGGGCAGGGCCCCTCCTACCTGAAGAAGGGGTTCTTCAGATCCAGCAGGTTACTGGACTTGGAGCCCGTCTGGTCCACCTGGGCCACAATACTGATGTCGTAGCTCTGTCTGTGGGGGCAGGAGGTGGTGTGAGGTGGTGTGGGCGGAATGGACCCCCACCCCACCCGACCCCCGCGGCAGGGCGCACCTTTTGTTGGCAATAAGCAGACATGTCCCTGAGAGCGTGTCCCCGGCCTTGGCGAACAGCGGTGACTGGAAGAGACACCGGACCTGGTACCAGTGGGTCAGGGGCTCCGTGGGGGCCGTGGACAGCCACACGGTCATTCTGTCAGGTACAAACAGGCACATGCTTGCCACCATCCTCCTTGCCTTGAGCTCGCCCCAGATTCCTGCCCCTCGGCAGGCCCAGGCACACACAGGGGCTCACACATGTACCCACGGGGTCCCGGGACGCCTGTGTGACCAGACGACAGGGCCAGGAAAGAGGGGTATTCAGAATGGGGTAAGGATCCCCACACACACAATGGATCTTTTGCCTGAAAACACTGGCTATTGGATGGGACTCAGGAAGCTGAGGAATGGCACCCCACAGCTGGGTTTGGGGTATCACAGCTGCAGGGAGCCCCGAGGGGCAAGGACAACATGGTCTGCTCTGCGCACTCACATGGAGCCGATGAAAGCAACGTCAAACCAGAAGGCCAGGCCGTGCACCAGCCCTGAGTGCAGCATGTGGAACTTGAATGGGATTTCTATCCTGCAAGGCAAAGGCAGAGGTTTGCCAGGGAGGCCGAACAGGATGCTGGGAGAGGAGAGGCCAGGGGCCCCCTACCCCACCCTGCCCTGGAACAGCAGATATAGCCATGGGTCAGTGCTGGCCCTGACCTTCAGCAGAGCCAAGCCCAGGGGTACGGGGCGGGGCCTGCTGGTACCTGGGAGGAGGGGGCGGAGCCTGACGGTACCCATCCAGGGGCAGGGCCTGCTGTACCTGTGCAAATCTCCTTCTTTGGCTTCTAAGAAGTTCACTGTATACTTGACAGATTTGGCCATCAGGATCCGGATGTCAAACGTATCCTGGGAGAGACAGAGGTATGATCTGGCTTTTGTCACTGGGGCCAGAAAGAGGAGAGGCCTGGTTCTTCTTCTTAGCCTGGTCATGGCCTCGGCTGCGCCATCTGGCTAAATGACTCAACCAGATTGCCTTTCTCACACTTGTGAAGGGAGGTCTTGCTGATTCAAGGCAGGGACAGCAACCAAGGGTCAACTCTCAAAATGACAAGTGCTCAGTGGGACGTGGGCAGTACAAGTTAGACATGGTGGCCTGCGCCCATCATCCCAGCTACTCGGGAGGCATAAATAGGAGGATCGTGGTTCTAGACCAACCAGGGAAAAGTTCAGGAAAGCAGATTAAAGCAGGACTAGGGATTTAGCTCGAGTTCTGGGTGTTATTATTATGTTTTTTTTGGGTGGTCCAGTCGTGGGGTCTGAACTCTGGGCCTGGGCACTGTCCCTCAGCTCTTCAGCTCAAGGCTAGCGCTCTACTTCCGGCTTTCTTTTTGCTTATGTGGTGCTGAGGAATGGAACCCAGGGCCTCAGGCATGCAAGGCAAGCGCTCTACCACTGAGCCACCTTCCCAGCCCCTCGAGTTCTGGGTGTTTAACCTATAGGCATACCCACGCCTAATTACTCCACTAATGATGAAACCATCTAAAGTGAGAGAGCTCTTCTATAAACCACTGTGTGTGCCTAAGAACGAAGAGGCTCTTAATGGGGGGGGGGATGCAGGATTTTCAAGAGAAATCAGTAAGCAACTTAGCAACAACAGCAAGCTGAGACGGGGGTGCAGAGAGATTTTCTGCTGACACTGAAGCTCCTGCCAGGAAGTAGACGAGCTGCACAGAATGCAAAGGAAAAGTAATCAAGTGCTGAGCGCAGCCAGGGCTTTGGAGGCCAAGTCCTACTGAGAAGTGGAATACATGGAGCCCTTTGCTGTCCTGCATTTTTTTCCTCAGAGAGGGAACAGAACAAGTCGTCTCGGTTCGGCAGCCTCCCTGAAATATGGGGAATATGGAGGGGAAGAAGGGCTCAGGGTTAACAAAGAAGCTAGGAGTATACAAGCCAAAAAAGTAAAGGGAAGTTTGGGGGAGACATCGTGTGGTGTGGAGGGCCACGCAGGAAGCCGCTCCTGGGAGAAAAAGTTCAGCATGGTGACTGGCAGGACCTGGGGAAAGCTTGGACAAGGCTCCCTGAGAACTTCCAGAACTCTCCAGAATACTAAGGGCTAAACCAAAGCTGGAAGGCCAAAACTTTGCACCTTTGGCTGAGGCAAAACAAAAGAGTAATCCAGCTATCTTTTACTAACACAAACATGAAAGAGATCTACACACTGCAAACACAGTTATTTTCACTTGAATTTGGTTGTTTGTGGTGTATGCCAGTGTTGGGACTTGAAGTCAGGGCCTTGAGCCCTTGGCTCACCTTTTCACCTCAAGGTTGGCTCTCTACCACTTGCGCCACAGCTCCATTTCAGCTTTTCGCTGGTTAACTAAGACTACTCGGACTTGCCCAAGTAGGAGGACAACCTTGATCCTCAGAACCTGGCCCCCAGAGTAGCTAGGATGACAGATGTGAGCCATCAACACCTCAGTTTGGAGTCCTCAAACCTCAGCCTCCCATGAATTTGAGATCACTAGTTTGGGGTCATGCAGAGTTATGGATTGAAAAGTCTTGTGAGTATTTCTGCCCAGGCAGAAATCCTTCTGCAATCCTCCTGTTTTCAGCCTCCTCTATTTACTTATGTATTTGATACTAGTGACTGAACTCAGACACTCACATATGCTGGCTAAGCCCTAACACTTGAGACTTGCCCCCAAGCCCACTTGCTTAGTAGTTTGTTTTGGCCAGTCCTGGGTCTTGAACTCAGGGCATAGGCGCTGTCCCAGAGCCTCTTGTGCTTAAGGCTAGTGCTCTACCACTTGAGCCCTAGTGCCACTTCCAGCTTTTTCTGAATAGTTTATTGTACCTAAGCTGGCTTTGAACCACAATCCTCAGATCTCAGCCTCCTTAGTAGCTAGCGTTACAGCAGCGCCTGGCCCCTAGTTTGTTTTTGAGCTAGGGTCTCACAATAGCTTTGAACTGGCCTAGGACGGTGATCCCTTTTCCTTATCCCAAATACATGGGATTAGAGGTATACACTGCCAGACCTGGCTTTTTAAAGGTTCTTTAGTGTCTTTTTTTCCCCCCGGTACTGGGGATCTGAACCCAGGGCTTCACACTTGTTAAGCAAATACTCTACCACTTGAACTGTTTCTAGCCGCTTTGTGCACTGGCTGCGTTTCAGGTAGGCCCTCACTTTACGCCCAGGTTGGCCAGGGCTGCAACCTTCCTACTTGTACTTCCTTGATTACAGGGGACAATGAGTGTGTGCGACTGGTCACGGGGGAGAGATGGAATCTCATGAACTCTCCTGCCCAGGCCGGCCTTGAAGCGTGATCCACCAATCTCTGCCTCCCAAGTGGCTAGAACAGGCTGGAGACACTATGCCAGGGCTTCCTGGGTTTCGTTTTTCTTTAAAGCAGCTATCAAGAAGAACACATATAAACAAAAGCTCTTTAGGAACCTGAGACCAAAATGGGTGTGCAACACTGCTACAGGGAAATTGGGAAATTGCCAGCCAAACATGGGTAAAGACTGTCCCAAATCTTCAAATATTCTCTGTAGGGTTGTGGTTTATTTTGTTGTTCGTTGTTGTTGTTGTTGTTTGGGGGGGGGGGGAGTCAGTCATAGGCCTTTTAGAGCCAGGGTGCTGTCCCTGCAGTTTTGTGCTCAGGTTTGTTTTTTGTTTTTTTTGGGGGGGGGTCTGGTCGTGGGGTCTGAACTCTGGGCCTGGGCGCTGCCCCTCAGCTCTTCAGCTCAAAGTGAGAGCACTACCACTTGAGCCACAGCACTTCCTGTTTTCTAGTGGTTTATTGGAGATAAAGAGTCTCACAGACTTTCCTGCCCGGGCTGGCTTTGAACCAGGATCCTCAGATCTCAACCTCCTGAGTAGCTAGGATGACAGGCATGAGCTTCCGATGCCTGGGCCTGCCTGTCATTTTCATGCTGATGTTAAGTAATTAAGGTATACCGCAAGACTTTGCCAAAGGACCAAGATACCCTCATCAAGAAAATCAACAGAAACACATCTACAGTCCACAGATGCTTCTATTCATCAGACTGAGAACTAAAAAAAACTATACACACACACTCACACACACTACTGATATATTTTTTTTGGGGGGTCTGGTCGGGGGGCCTGAACTCTGAGCCTGGGCGCTGTCCCTCAGCTCTTCAGCTCAAGGCTAGTGCTCTACCACTTGGGCCACAGCGCCACTTCCAGCCTTTTTCTTTTTGCTTATGTGGTGCTGAGGAATTGAACCTAGTGCCTCTGGCATACAAGGCAAGCGCTCTACCACTGAGCCACCTTCCCAGCCACAACTGAGATTTTTAACTCAGGACCTCACACATAAACTCTGGCTTTCTTGGCCAGCAGGAATCTACTCCTTGAGTATGGTTATTCTGGAGATGTAAACTTGTGGCTTTTTCTGCCTGAACTGGCTACATGTGACTAGTAAGATCTCAGCCTCTTCATGAGTACCTATGATTACACATGAGTTTCTGTACTCAACAATCTTAAAAAGACCCTTAGTTCCATTTCCAACAAACATAAAAAAAAAAAAAGGAAAAAAAAAGTTGAAGTTGTATTCTGGTTGCTCATGCCTGTAATCCTAGCTACTAAGGAGGCTGAGATCTGAGGATCCCAGTTCCAGGCCAGACTGGGCAAGAAAGTCCATAAGACTCTTAGGTCTGGGGCTGGGAAGGTGGCTCAGTGGTAGAGCGCTTGCCCTGCATGCATGAGGCCCTGGGTTCGATTCCTCAGCACCACATAAGCAAAAAAAAAAAAAAAAAAAACAGCTGGAAGTGGCGCTGTGGCTCAAGTGGTAGAGCACTAGCCTTGAGCACCCAGACCCAGAGTTCAGGCCCCACGACCGGACACAAAAAAAAAAAATTATAAGTGAAATTAAGAATTAGCAGCCAGCCGGGGATGAGTGGCTTATGCCTATAACCCTAGCTACTCAGGAGGCTGAGATCTGGGGATCAAGGTTCAAAGCCAGCCTGAGCAGGAAAGACCATGAGACTCATCTCCAATAAACCACTCAGAAAAACCAGAAGTAGTGTTGTGGCTCAAGTGGTAGAGCGCTCACCTTGAGCTGAAGAGCTGAGGGACAGCGCCCAGGCCCAGAGTTCAAGCCCCGTGACAGACAAAAAAAGAAGAAAGAAAAAAGAAAAGAAAATTCACTCAGTGAGTGAAATCAAATCAGCTCCCAAGGGTCACTTCACGCACCAACAGTGGCACGCGTGGTGGTGTCCACGGGGAGGGAGGGGGTGGATACTCACCACCACAGGCTGCCGGAAATACTCGTCCACAGCAGCACCTCGAAGGGCCGACAGATCGACTCCGTGGAAAGATGGCTGGTACCTGCGGGGAGCCCCACCCCCAGGCCCGCAAGGTCACCAGCAGCAAAGGGTGGCAGAGTGAATAACCCCGCTTCCTCCCCCAGCTGGCCCTTGTCCAGCCCACCAAGGTGCACTCACCAGAAGTTGGCCTTGGTGAACTGCTCCATGTAGAGCTGTTCATCAGTGAAGGGTGCCAGGTGGACGTCGCCGATGGTGGGGAACATGTTTCCTGGGAGCAGGGGGCAGCGTCAGGAATGGAACCCAGGGCCTCATGCATGCAAGACAAGCACTCTACCACTGAGCCACCTTCCCAGCACAACTCTTTTGGTTTTTGAGTCCTGGGTCTATGTAGCCATTCCAAAAACATAATGGAGCCAGGGAGTGAGGGCTCACACCTGTCATCCTAGCTACTCAGGAGAGGTTGAGATCTGAAGATCCAAGTTCCAGGCCAGGCCTGGGCAGGAAAATCCATGAGATTCTTTAACTCCCATGGACTACCCAAAACAAAGCCAGATAGGGAGCTGTGGCTCAAGTGACAGAGCACCAGCCTTGAGGAAAAAAGCTCAAGGATATTGCTCAGGCCCTGAGTTCAAGCCCCAGGACCCCCATACACACATAGTCTCCCTCTCTTTTCTTTGGAGGGGTCTGCCATAAGCTTGAACTCTGGGCCTGAGCGCTGTCCCTCAGCTCTTCAGCTCAAAGCAAGCACTCTACCACTCGAGCCATAGCGCCACTTCTGGTGTTCTGATGGTTCATTGGAGATGAATCTCTTGGACTTTCCTGCCCGGACTGGCTTTGAACCTCCACCCTCAGACCTCAGCCTCTGGAGTAGCTGGGATGACTGGCGTGAACCACTGGCGCCCGGCTACACATACATTTTAATGAGTAAAATCAGTCCCGGCTTTCATCTCCACATTGTACACACAATGGCCCCTGATTTCTGGGGCAGCCACTGCCCTCAGCAGAGACCCCAGGAAAGCATCACCTGTCCCTGTGGCCCACCACCAGCTGAGGGGCAGGATGGGAGCAGCAGAGCCCTCCTTGAGCAGAGGAAGCCGAGGATGCAGGGCACTCAGGCTGGCTGGGCTCCAGCTGTCCCCCACCAGCACGGTGGCCGCGTGGTCGCCCTTCCCAGGCAGAGTGGCAGGGCCTTGTCTGACATGCAGCAGCACCAGGCAGAGCAGCAGAGACCACATTTGCCTCCCATGTGTTCCTCCCAGCATTCCTTCTCTGCAAGGCCGGGGTGGCGCCAAGGCCGGGGTGGGGCGGGGCCTGGGCACTCACCACTGGGCTTCAGGTACTTCTTGGCATGGAGGTAGCTCTCGAGCATGCGCTCATTGAAGAGCATGTAGCCCATGGGCTCCGAGATGATCACGTCCACCTGCTCGGGCAGTGACACCTCCTCCACCTTGCCGGGAATGACCACGATGCGGTCTGTCAGGTTGTTACTCTTCACCAGCACCTGCAGACGGGGTGGGCTGCGGGATCACGGGGTGCCTCGGCCACGGACACCCTAATATCAGTGGGGGGGGACGGAGACTTTGAGGGCCCCTGGGGTGGCAGGAGCCCGCTGGGGGTAGAGACTGGGACGTCAACTTTGCCCATGGGGGCCAAAGCTGGCCCAGGACTCCGGTGTGGGGGAGCCTGCCTCCCACGCAGTTGCCCAAAGAGCAAGGGGCACGTAGGTCCAAGACGCAGCACAGCACACCAGAGCCTGCCACACAGCAAGGGATGGAGTCTCTACAGGACAAAGACTGGGAACCACTCCATGGCCACCGGCCTTAGAAACAGAGGACAGGGACCTGCTCACACCCTTGGGGACGTAGAGGTCACAGATGAAGGACAAAAGGAGGAGGTGGGGGATGGGACCCGGGGCGACACTGACCTCAGCATGCTGGGCCATGGTACTGGCCTCCACTGCATAGATTTTCCTGGCTCCAGCTTGGGCAGCGAAAAAGGAGAGAATCCCAGAGCCACAGCCAACATCTAGAACAATCTGAGGAAATGACACGCGTGTGATAGAACGGATGCGCGTGACTCTCACCTGATGACGACACCCAGCACCTGTGCAGCATGCCACAGGGCGCCACCTCATGACAGACAGGCAGCACGTGTCAGAACGCTCAGTCGCCACCGAAAGCCACGTGCTGACGGCTCACGCCTGTCATCCTAGATACTGGGGGGGGGGGGGGGTGATATCTGAGGATCAAGGTTTGAAGCCAGGCTGGGTAAGGAGGTCTATGAGGCTCTTATCTCCAGTGAGGGAGGGGGGAGGGGGAGGGGCAGGACACGACACTGTGGAGAAGTAGAGCTGTGGCTCAAAATAGGTAAGGGATGCACGCACGCACGCGCACACACGTGCACACACACACACACAGCATAATGAAACCCATTTAATACTGTTAGAGAATGGGGAGGAGGGGAGGCACGCTGTGTGCGTGTGCGCACATATCACAGGGAAAGCCTCCAATTGCATGTACAAGGCCCTGCTTCCATCTCCAGCCTGAGGCCTCACAGGCGGCGAACGGGGTGGGGGGCTGGGCACCCTGGATCGCTTGTGATATTTGAGCTGTAGATCGTGGTTTTTCTCCATGGTTCCAGGGCCCCCACCATCCCCCAAGCCACATAAAAGAGAATTTCTCCTCTCCAAGGTGGGCCAGAGGAATGGTAAGCTACCAAGAAATTCCAGGGGGAGGAGGGGTGCCCTGCCACCCTCTGTTCCGGAAGGGCGGGGCTCCCCGGAGGGGCGGGGCTCCCCACAACTGGAGGAGAATCTGCAGAGGCAGACCTGGCTGGCTTCCCCACACCATCTCTCCACATTAGAGTCACAACATAGCCCATAAACAGCCAAAAAGATGTCAAGGGCTGGTGGCTCACACCTGTAATCCTAGCTGCTCAAGAGGCTCAGTTCTGAGGATCATGGTTTGAAGCCAGCCCGGGCCATAAAGTCTGTGAGACTCATCACCAATAAACCACCAAAAAGCCAGCAATGGAGCTGTGGCTCAAGTGACAGAGGCCCATCCTTGTGTGCAAAAGCTAAGAGTGCATGCAGGCAAGACCCTCAGTTCAAGCTCTAGTACCAGCGCATGCATGCGCGCGCACACGCATACACACACGAACACAAGTCCAAGCAAGCCCTGTTGTTCACAATTATGATCTTAGAAATCCAGGAGGCAGAGATCATGAGGATGTAAGTTCAAGGCAAACCTGGGCAAAGAGTTAATGAGTCCCTATCTCAACCGGAAAAAAAAAAGAAAAAACCCATTAAGTGTCTATTGTAAGCGGCTACTTAGGAGACATTGGAAGTAGGGTCCAAGCCAAGCAGACAAAAAGCCACACCTGGTACAAAAAATAATGAATGCAAAAAGGGCTGGAAGCAGTTAAAACAGCAAAATACCTGCATGGTATATGGAAGGCCATGAATTCAACTCCACCAAATTAAAAGAAAAATTCAAGCTGTGTGCTGATGGCTCACACCTGTAATCCTAGAAACTCAGGAGGCTGAGATCAGAGGATCATGGTTTAAAGCCAGCCCAGGCAGGAAAGTCCGGGAGACTCTATTTTTTTTTTCCGTCAGTCATGGGTCTTAAACTCTGGGCCTGGGCGCTGTCCCTCAGCTCTTCAGCTCAAGGCGAGCGCTCTACCACTTAAGCTACAGCACCACTTCTGGTTTTCTAGTGGTTTATTGGAGATAGAGTCTCACAGTCTTTCCTGCCCGGGCTGGCTTTGAACCGCGACCCTCAGATCTCAGCCTCCTGAGTAGCTAGGATTACAGGCGTGAGCTACCGGCGCCCAGCTAGGGAGACTCTTATCTCCAATAAACCACCAGAAAACTGGAAGTGGCGCTGTGGCTCCAGTGGTAGAGCGCTCGCCTTGAGCTGAAGAGCTGAGAGACAGTGCCCAGGCCCAGAGTTCAAGACCCACGACTGACAAAAAGAAAAAAAAAAAAAAGGTGAGTGACAGATGAGGCCCTAGTACATACATACACAAAACAAAAATTGTTTTAATTCCTGCATAAAGCTTATGTAACTAATTCACTGAAGTATGGAAGCTGTCTCGTGATTATGTTTCCCTATACTTCCCTACTCTTAACTATGTGAAAATAAGTCTCCAAAAGAGCCAAGCGCACCCCAAGAACAAGGTAAAAGTTAAAGTGCTTTTTTTTTCTTCTTAATTTTATGCAAGTCCTGGTGCTTGAACTAAGGGCCTGGCCGCTGTATCTAAGCTTTTGTACTCAAATCTCACACTCTACCATTTGTACCAATAGTGCCACTTCCAGCTTTCCATTTGGTGTTGAATTGGAGAACTGAGTCTCACAGACTTTCTTTTATTTTGTTGGTCAGTCATGGGGCCTGAACTCTGGGCCTAGAGCTGTCCCTCAGCTCTTCAGCTCAAGGCGAGCGCTCTACCACTTGAGCCACAGCGCCACTTCCGACTTTTTTCTGCTTATGTGGTGCTGAGGAATGGAACCCAGGGCCTCATACATGCAAGACAAGCACTCTACCACTGGGCCACCTTCCCAGCCTCTCACAGACTTTTCTTGCCCAGTGTGGCTGTGAACCATGATCCCCAGATCTCAAACTCCTGAGCTATGATAACAGGTATGAGTCACTGGCCCTCAGCTAATGCACTTAATTTAAGTGACAATTTTACATGTGTGGCAAGGGCGCGTGTCTAGCAGAAGTGGGGGGTCTTATGGACGAGCTGAATCCAGCATCCAAAGTTCAATACTGATCAACACCAGAGCATTCGTGGTTGTCCTCCAGGGTGGTCTCAGGCTGGGGATGTGGCTTAGTGGTAGTGCTTACTCAGCATACATGAGGCCCTGGGGTTTGATTCCTTGGTACCACATAAACAACAAACTAAAAATAAATGAAATTTTTAAAAAAGTGGGAGGGCAGAGTCCTGGGAACCACAGGCCTGTGAACCCAAAGGGTATACTGTATGTACAACAATATTTGTCACAATCACAGCTTATAGAGCTGAGGAAAACATGCTCAGTTTTGTTGAAAAAATGTAAGCCAAGTGCCAGTGGCTCATGCCTATAATCCTAGCTGCTCAGGAGACTGAGTAGTCAGCCCAGACAGGAAAGTCCATGAGACCCTTACCTCCAGTGAACCACCAAAATGCTGGAAGTGGAACTGTGGCTCAAGTGGTAGAGCACTAGCCATGAGCAAAAAACACTCAGGAATAAATATCCATGAACTCCCCCATTTCTACCAATAGTTGGGTACAAGGAGGTGCACCTCTTACCCCAGCTACAAAGAAGGCTGAGACTGAACAAAAATCAAGTCCCTATCTCAAAAATAACCAGAGCAGCCAGGCACTTCAAGCTCACGCCTGTAATCCTAGCCACGCAGGGAGCTGAGAGACCGGGTGGGGGATGACTAGAGTTTGAGGTGAGCCCAGGGAGAAGAGTGTCAGAGCCTCCATCTCTAAATGGACAGGCATAAAGCCTGGCTGGAGGCATGGTTCAAGTGGTGGAGCACCCTCTGTGAGCAGGAAAGCCAAGGGGGAGAAGGAAAGCGCACAGCTGTTGTAGAGTGCTTCGTTAAGTGGAACTCTAGTACTGCCCAGAACGAAAGAGTAAGGAGAAGGAAGGGAGGAGGAAGGAGAGGGAAAGAGTGGGGAGGTGGACATAGATCCTGAGCAATGGCTGGTCCACAGGGGCGCAGGGCTTGGCCTGGGTCTCCAGCGCTGGCAGGCCCCTCGGGTCAGGCATGCTGGCTTGGCGCCCTGGGGCCCAGTGGGCGGGGTGTCGCGGGGTAGTGGGCGGGGCATCGCGGGGCAGTGGGGGGGCGCCGCGGAGCTGTGGGCGGGGCGTCGCGTGGGCGGGGCGCCGCAGGGGCGGAGCCTGCACCTCACCTTGTCTTTGAAATCCGTGTGGTTCTGCAAGATGGCGCGCTGGTAGGTGCCGGTCCGCACGTAGTCCTGCATCATGTTCTGCTGCTGGGACAGGTAGCCATAGAACTGGAACAGAGACACAGCGATGGCACAGGGCACGCGGCGGGGCTGGCTCGGGTACAACCTCCCTCAGGAGGCCCGGAGCCCGCTGGCATCTGATGGCTGCTCGCCGAGGAGGAGCTGGGGGCCCCCGAAGGCGGCCGAGGGCACGCTGCCACCGTCACGGCGCCGAAGGACACAGGGAGACGCTGCCTGGACGAGGAGGCCACCCGCAGGATGGCAAGATCGGCCATCGGTGGGGTGATGGCGTCTGGGGCCACCTGCCCCATCACGGGGCCCCAAAGAAGAAGAGGAACAAGATGGAACAGAACCCCAGAGCTCAGAGCGCCAGGCAGGCAGGTGAGGTGCGGTGTCTCTCTGTAAAACAACAGGCGATCGGGAGGCAGCGAGGCACCTGGGCAGGGCCACAGGCTTTGGCATCAGGCAGACCTGGGCTTCCCATCTTGGCTCTGTTGCATAAGAGCTGTGTGACTTGGACCAAGTCACTTAACCTCTCTGAGCCTCAGTTTTCTCATCTGTAAAATGGGGACAATAACAGCACTTACCTCCTCGCGTTGTTGGGAGGGGCCGAGCGCTTCCGGGGCATGTAAGAGCGCTCAGGCTGGGCCTGGCACACACAGTGCGGGTTCAGGACATGGCTACCGCTGTGGCCTGGGGACCTGAGCTTCCCCCGCACTCAGATCCTTCCAGCAACCCTCTCCACGCTTCACAGATGAGCAAACTGAGGCCCGGCAGGCGGAGGGCACCTGCCCGAGGCTATGCAGCTAAGTATGGGACAGAGCAGCCAGGGCAGGCACCGGGCGTGGGGGCCCAGGGTGGGCGCCCCACCTACCTGGAAGTACTGGACAGCCGAGGACTCTTCAGTCCGCTCGCTGAACACTGAGCGCTCCAGCGTGTGCCCGCGGCACGTCTTCAGAATGTTATAGAAGGAGCAGAAGTCTGCAAGGGGGGGGGGCGGGCGGTCACCACCCAGGCGCCTGGCACTGTGGGGGGGGGCATCTGGACGGGACGGGGCCTTCTGTCTAACTGGAACCCCAATGACTGAGTGACTTCTTGTCTCCCGGAACTGCTCAGATTTGAGGAAGGTGGCAGACAAAATGCGCGCTTGCGTGGAACGGTGCCATCCGGTGGGGGCAGGCCTGGCCACCCCAAAAAACCAGTGTGGCAGAGCTACCAAGGGCTTGGGCTTGGGATCTGAGTGTTAACTCTCACCAACTAACCCAGATGCCAACGGTGGGGCCTGCACACAGGGAAGACACCCCAACATTTCACAGGGCGGATACAGCTTAGGTACCCAGAGAAGTACACCAGCCTGCTCAGGAGGCCATGTTATGTGGGCCCCTAAGATGAAGTGATGGACACAAAGAATTCTCTTTCTCTCTCTCTGGCAGCACAAGGGTTTGTTTGGACTTGGTTTGGTAGACCAGGGTCTCTCTTTGCCTAGTGTTTTTAATCTGGTGGGGCTCAAACTTGCTATCTTTCCTTCTATGGCTGAAGCTCTATCACCCAAGCCACGCCTCGAACCCATTCTTTATTTTCAAATAGGGTCCTCGTGCTTTTGCCGAGGCCAGCCTCCAGTCAAAATTGTTCCACTTTCACGTTCTTTGTCTTTTTTTTCTTTTTTGTCGGTCGTGGGGCCTGAACTCTGGGCCTGGGCGCTGTCCCTCAGCTCTTCAGCTCAGGGCTAGCGCTCTACCAGTTGAGCCACAGCGCCACTTCCGGCTTTTTCTGCTTATGTGGTGCTGAGGAATTGAACCCAGGGCCTCATGCATGCAAGGCAAGCACTCTACCACTGAGCCACCTTCCCAGCCCATCTACTTTCACTTTCTGAGTAACTGGGATTATAGGCATATACCACCATGCCTGGCTAAAAGCATCACTTGGAAGAAGTTTTTGAGCTGGGTACCAGTGGCTCACACCTGTCATCCTAGCTACTCAGGAGGCTGAGATCTGAGGATCACAGTTCAAAGCCAACCCAGGCAAGAAAAGTCCATGAGACTCTTACCTCCAGTGAACCACCAGAAAACCAGAAGTGGTGCTGTGGCTCAAGTGATAGAGCGCTAGCCTTGAGCTGAAGAGCTGAGGGGCAGCGCCCAGGCCCAGAGTTCAGGCCTCACGACCGACAATAACAACAACAACAAAAAAAGTTTTTTAAATACAGGTTGAAGCCTGGTGTGGTACCACAAGCCTGTAATCTCAGCACTCCAGAAGCTGAGGTAGAATGTGGAAGCTCAAGGCCAGCTTAGACCCTGTCTCAAAAACAAACAAAAAACACTGAAAGAACATTATTAAAATATAAGATCATAAAAAACAATAAAGCCAGGCGCTGGTGGCTCACGCCTGTAATCCTAGCTACTCAGGAGGCTGAGATCTGAGGATCGCGGTTCAAAGCCAGCCCAGGCAGGAGAGAC